ATACGGCTGGGTTAGAGGAGGGAGATAAAGGGTTGTGTGTGTGGGGGCATGCAGTGGGGGACTTGTAACCGGCCGGCCTGCAGATTACCGCACGACCGGGTGTGAGTCAAACGGGTTGTGGGGGATTTGTGTGTGCTTCCGTGAGGTATAGATGGGGTTATAGGGTGGCGGGTGTCGTAGGGTAGAGAGTGGGAGGTATGGCAAGGCTTGGGGAGCTATGGCGAGGTTAGTGGAGGGAGATATGGCTGGGTTAGAGTGGGTAGATATGGCTGGGTTAGAGTGGGTAGATATGGCTGGGTTATAGGAGAGATATGGCTGGATTAGAGGGAGATATGGCTGGGTTAGAGGGGGAGATATGGCTGGGTTCAAGTGGGAAGATATAGTCAGGTTAGAGGAGAGCGATATAGCTGGGTTAGAGTGGGGAGATATGACTGGGTTAGAGAGGGAGATATGGCTGGATTAGAGGGAGACGAGATATGGCTGGGTTAGAGGGGGAGATATGGCTGGGTTCAAGTGGGAAGATATGGTCTGGTAGAGTGGAGAGCTGGCTATTTTAGCTGGGTTAGAGTGGGGAGATATGACTGGGTAGATGAGAGAGATATGGCTGGGTTAGAGTGGGGAGATTAGAAGTATGAGTGAGACGAGGGATATATGTATGGGTGAGACGAGGATATAGGGCTGGGTTAGAGGGGGGGAGGTATGGCTTGGTTAGAGTGGAGAGATATGGCTAGGTTAGAGTGGAGAGATGTGGCTAGTTTAGAGGAGGGGAGATATGGCTGGGTTAGAGTGGGGAGGAGATATGGCTGGGTTAGAGGAGGGAGATATAGCTGGATTAGAGGGGGAGATATGCCTGGGTTATAGGGGGATATGGATTATATGGCTGGGTTAGAGTAGGGAGATATTGGCTGGGTTAGAGGGGGTATGGCTGGGTTCGAGAGGAGGGATATGTGGCTGGGTTTGAGGAGGGATATATGGCTGCCCAGGAGAGGAAATACGGCTGGGTCAGAGGAGGGAAATACGGCTGGGTTAGAGTGGGGAGATAGAGGGTTAGGGAGGGAGATACGGCTGGGTTAGAGGAGGGAAAATACGGCTGGGTTAGAGGAGGGAAATACGGCTGGGTGGGAGGGAATTAGAGGGAGGGAGATATGGCTGTCCAGAGGAGGGGGGTCAAATACGGCTTAGGGAGGGAAATACTGCTGGTTAGAGGAGGGAAATACGGCTGGGTTAGAGGAGGGAGATATGGCTGCCCAGAGGAGGGAAATACGGCTGGGTTAGAGGAGGGAGATTTGGCTGCCCAGAGGAGGGAAATACGGCTGGGTTAGAGAGGAGGGAGATATGGCTGCCCAGAGGAGGGAAATGGCTACGGAGGGAAATACGGCTGGGTTAGAGGAGGGAAATACGGCTGGGTTAGAGGAGGGAAATACGGCTGGTTTAGAGGAGGAGACTGGCTAAAGATATGGCTGGCTAGAGGAGGGAAATATGGCTGCCCAGGCTGCCCAGAGAGGGAAATACGGCTGGGTTAGAGGAGGGAAATTGGGTAGAGGAGGGAAATACGGCTGGGTTAAAGGAGGGAAATACGGCTGGGTTAGAGGAGGGAAATACGGCTGGGTTAGATGAGGGAAATACGGCTGGGTTAGAGGAGGGAGATATGGCTGCCCAGAGGAGGGAAATACGGCTGGGTTAGAGGAGGGAGATATGGCTGCCCATGGAGGCCGGTTAGAGGAGGGAAATACGGCCCAGAGGAGGGAAATACGGCTGGGTTAGAGGAGGAAAATACGGCTGGGTTAGAGGAGGGAGATATGGCTGCCCAGAGGAGGGAAATACGGCTGGGTTAGAGGAGGGAGATATGGCTGCCCAGAGGAGGGAAATACGGCTGGGTTAGAGGAGGGAGATATGGCTGCCCAGAGGAGGGAAATACGGCTGGGTTAGAGGAGGGAGATATGGCTGCCCAGAGGAGGGAAATACGGCTGGGTTAGAGGAGGGAAATACGGCTGGGTTAGAGGAGGGAAATACGGCTGGGTTAGAGGAGGAAAATTGACTGGCTAGAGGAGGAAGACATAGCTAGGTTAGTCAGGGAGATACGGCTGGGTTAGAGATGGAGATATGGCTGGGTTAGAGATGGAGATACGGCTGGGTTAGAGATGGAGATACGGCTGGGTTAGAGATGGAGATAAGGCTGGGTTAGAGATGGAGATATGTCAAGGTTAGTGCCATCAGTCGACCTATCCATTTAACCATCGACCCACCCATCCACTCACTTACCAGCCCACCCACCCATCCACTCACTTACCAGCCCATCTACCCATCCACTGACTTACCAGCCCATCTACCCATCCACTCACTTACCAGCCCATCTACCCATCCACTCACTTACCAGCCCATCTACCCATTCACTCACTTACCAGCCCACCCACCCATCCACTGACTTACCAGCCCACCAACCCATCCACTCACTTACCAGCCCATCTACCCATCCACTCACTTACCAGCCCATATACCCATCCACTCACTTACCAGCCCGCCCACCCCCCCCCCCTCCCCCCTCCCCTCCCCAGTGCACCCATGGAAAGATGAGTCACTGACGCCCAGGAACATCTAACGCAGTGGTTCTCAACTTTCCTAATGCGGCCCACCTTTTAATACAGTTCCTCATGTTGTGGCGACCATCCAACTATTCAGTTTTTGTCGTTGCTACTTCACAACTACAGTGAATATGTCTTTTGGATGGTCTTTGGCGACTCCTGTAAAAAGTTGAGAACCCCTAATCTAACGGAAATCAATACTCTGATATTCCATTATTCCCGGCCAGTTATGAAGCCCCCAATGTTGATAGGGCTATTATTGTACCAGTCACTTTCCCCTTTCGGCTTATCTTCAAAGAGAAAGAAGCCTTTGTCAACAGAATCAGAAATGACATGTGGGAGTTCCCATCTGTTGGTTCACAAGACCAGGTAAAAAAGAACAACAAAAACATGACTTTACAGACGCAGCCAGAGTATTATATACAAGTTCTCCACTTACGATGACCGTGTTCCGTTCCGACTAATAGGAGGTCCTTAGTCGAATTTTTTTACCGTTTTTTTTTTTTTTATTCAAGGTAGTTAAAATTGCGTCATGTGTATGTGTCAACGATCTACAGGGTCTAAATCTATAGGTGCTGCAGGCCGGTGATAGGTAAATCTCCTAAAGGAAAACACAAACCCGTACGCCCGTTGAACACACACAATCTTTAATATCAAAGAGTAAGAACTTGTTCAGTTTAGCCTCAGGATGTGTAGAGCTCCCTGTGTCTTACACAATGATAGTAGATTTTTAACCACATGATTTGTTAGTAAATATTCAGTACACTTTCTCATTTGGTACTGCTGGTTCTGTGGCAACATAAAAAGCTGCCATGAAAGACAAATGAAAACTGATGGTTCAAGTCTTCTGGGGACAAGCTGACAGCAGCAGGTAGGGTGACAAAACCAACTATAGGAAACGTTTGTAACTGGATGAAACGATCCTGGAAAGGTAGAGTGAAGAAACCAACTATATGAGACGTTTGTAACTGGATGAAACGATCCTGGGAAGGTAGAGTGAAGAAACCAACTATATGAGACGTTTGTATCCTGATGAAACGATCTTGGAAAGGTAGAGTGAAGAAACCAACTATATGAGACGTTTGTATCTGGATGAAACGATCCTGGACAGGTAGAGTGAAGAAACCAACTATATGAGACGTTTGTATCTGGATGAAACGATCCTGGAAAGGTAGAGTGAAGAAACCAACTATAGGAGACGTTTGTAACTGGATGAAACGACCCTGGGATAATGTAAAGATTGAGATCGCTGTCAAGTTATTCAAGAAGTGTGGCATTTCAAATGTCACAGATGGAACTGAAAAAGAGGTACTCTTGTTCTTCTTCTTTTTGTTCTTCTTCTTCTTCTTCTTGATCTTCTTCTTCTTTTTGTTCTTCTTCTTCTTGATCTTCTTCTTCTTCTTCTTTTTCTTCTTCCTGACCTTTTTCTTCTTTGTTCCCAGTGTAAGCTCTGGCTTTTCGTCCTATTGCACTTTGGCATTGCGCCAGGGCCTGAGTTTTGCGAGTACATCCGGATTACAGGCTCATTTGTGTGTGTCTGGTTGTTTCTTGCGGCTCAGGCAGATGCACTCCGATTTCAAAGGAAGCTTCCAATTAGTGGACCGACATGCTTGTTGGGAAGGCAGTGGAACTATTCTCCCCCCCTTCCCTCCGCCCCCCACACTGGGGCCCTGAAACCAACATGGGTGTTGGAGGGAGGGGGGGGGGCAAGGGGAATAGGATGAGGTAATATATAAAGATGGTGATTCATCATCAAACACAGACAATGACAAGCTAAACAACTATGATATGGATGAGAGTTTTGACAGCAACAAGGAAAATGATGGATTCTATGATGGATAAAACAACTTTATGTAATTATATTTTTTTTCTCTCTCCGAATTTCAGAATCAAGGTCTTATACACGGGATCATGTTATACAGTATTTTATAATTTGTGTTGTGTGGGTGTGTGTATGTGTGGGTGTGTGTGTGTGTGCGTGTGTGTGTGGGGGGGGGATAGGGGAGATGGTTGTATATCACATATAAGTCAAGGAAAAGGTGTTAAAAAGCAAATGGACATGTATTGATTGGCACTCACAGAAAGAAGTAGAAAAACAGAAGGACACACTAAATTGAAGGTTCACAATAGACAATGATGATGATGACATTCAACAGACAGACAGATAAAGATAGAGACAGACAGAGACAGACAGGCAGGCAGGCAGCCAGCCAGACAGACAGACAGACAGACAGACAGACAGACAGACAGACAGACAGACAGACAGACAGATATAGGAGCAGACAGACAGACAGACAGACAGACAGACAGATATAGGAGCAGAAAGACAGACAGACACAGACATATATAGAGACAGACAGACAGACACAGACAGACAGACAGACAGACAGACAGACACAGACAGACAGACTGACTCACCTCGACTGAGAACGTAGTGTCTTCATTGTCCTGGACAGAGACCCTTTTAAACAGGTCATCACACAACTGCAGAAATAGGAAAACACTGAACCTAATGTGCATACAATTATAAATCGATCAATCAGTCAATCAATCAATCAAAAAATGATATCCCTGCAGTTGGGAACATTTCCATATGTGCTCCGTCTCCTTCTTCAGTAGCCAACGAATGTCATGGACAAAAAAAAAACATGAAATGATGTTCCTGATCCGAGACTCATCACATGATGCAAGCCACTCTACGTGTAGGACGCCAGTTTATATTTCCGAAGCATGTTTCATGAGTCCGTTACAATGACCACATGTTGGGCTGTGCTCCCCTCAAGAAACGTTATACACCAGGCTCTTTGTCTTCAGTGTCCATCAACCTTCGCAAAAAAGCCCCCACCCACTATTCTTACCTCTCACAACAGACCCATCTGTGTATATAACGATGTCTCTTTCACCGATGCCTCTGTTTCACCAGCTATCAACTCCAGGCTCCCTCAGTCCAAAGATGATGAACTGCATTTCTAGTGTCGGACTGTTTGTGTTAGCAGTTCTGTTGGCTTTTGTATGCTTTTAATGCGTGTGTATGCTAGTGCATATGCTGAGACAGCAATCTGACAATCTATCCACAAGGGACTCTGATGAACATTCTGTGTTTTTTTCATTGGCACAGGAGCGGAGCAACTATGGGGTGACCCGTTTGTTATGAAGCTGAAACTAACATTACCATTACTATTACCAGTACCATTACCAGTCCAAAGAAACTATCACTCTGCGCAAGTCTGTTTTGCTGAGGGGCACTGTAACCCATTCTTCACCACGCGCTACCTTGTCAGTGGCAAAAACAGTTCTGATCATGACTTCTGCTTGTGCCATCCAGGAGCTACCTCTTCAGCCGATTCCTCTTGCTAACTCCAAGATCTCATGTAGAAGGTGTTGCAATCTTCTTTATCGTATAACTGTAGGACTTCTGATCCAAAATAGAGGACCAGGCAAGGCAAAATGTTTAGCTTGAAAGAAATTTTTGCTTCCAACAGCGCTTTGCTAATGCAGTTACTACATATGGACGGAAGTCGACAGTTTCACTGCCTGAGCTACCGAGTTTAGTGCTTGGTGCAGCCCTGTGAGCTGTGTTTATCATGTAGAATGCCTTTTATTTGTGCAGCAGCTGAGTGGGGGTAGTCATTATGGCTGTTAGCTGTGGGCTGGTGAAAAATCTTTTACAATAATTCTATGTGTGTATAGCTGACTTGTCTGGTCCAACTACTTCCATCAACGACAAACTGCATTTCTGGTGATAACTGTTGGCTTTGGTGTCTCTAGTAACTGCCATATGCATTTACTGGGTATGCATATTTATGGGTTGTGCCAGGATTGACTGTTTGTTCACCAGTTTTTCAAATGCAACAGTGAGGGACATTTCATTTAATTTTCACTGGCACAGGAACGGAGCACGTATGAGGAAACCCGATTGCGATGAAGTTTAAACCTCAACTACTACAACTACAAAAAAAGATATTTCCTGACGGCTGCTACTTTAAGGTACACTTTCACCTGTAGCATCTTGTAATTATGAGAGACAGACAACAGACATGTAGACAGAAGTAGGAGAGAGGAAAGGAGACAGATATGAATGCAGATGAAACAGGGTTGAAAGGGGAAGTTGTGAGAGACAAGCACAAGGGGAAGAGATAGAAGGAGAGAAGAAAGACATGGAGACAAACAGAAAGAGTGAGAGAGAGGGAAAGATGCAGGAAGACAGACACAGTGTGAAAAAAAAAGAAATACTGAGAGAGAGGGAGACACAGACATAAAGAAAAAGAAAGAAACAGTGAGGGGGGAGACAGACATTGAGGGAAATTTCAAAACACTGACAGAGAGGAAGAGACACAGGGAGACAGACACAGAGAGAAATACAGAAATTCAGGGAGACGGACAAAATGAGAGCAGAGACTAGCAGTAGGCTACTACTACTAGGAAGACAGAAAAAGAGAGAAGACATAAAAACATAGAAAGACAGACAGAAAACAGAGACAAAGAAACAGACCGACAAATTACACACAGAAATGAATCCACTGAACCCCTGTGTGGGTTCCAGGGCCCCATTGCGGGGAAAACAAGAACAGACCCACTGCCTACCCAAAAGCATGTGGTAAGAGTTGACTAATCCTTTGAAGTCGGAGTGCATTTGCTGGAGAGGCAAGGAACCAACAGTCTGTATTCAAGAGAATAAGATCTGTAAAATTGATGCACAAGGTTCTGGAGCAGGACTGCAGTTCAGTAGTGGACGAGCAACCAGAACTTTCTGCCAGAGTGTACAGCTGGTGAACGCGAAGAAGAAGGATCCACTGAACTGTGACTAAGAACGAATGAACTTTACATTCAAAGGGACACAAATTGGACACGCATGCCCGTCTCAAATTTGACGATCAGTGCTCACCTGAGGAATAATTCCCGTCTGTCCTGGCTCATTCTTCCCCATCATGGTATAACTCTTGCCCGAACCAGTTTGTCCGTAAGCGAAGATACAAACATTGTAGCCTTCAAACGCATGGTCCAACATTTCCAGTCCAATGTCCTCGTAGACTTTCTTCTGGTCGGCAAAGCTGGGGTCTTCTGCCTGTAAACAGGAAGTGACCAGAGAAGATGTCAACTGTTATTTTCTGTTTATCACAATCGAAATCCATAGCACTAGGGAATTTGTGGAGGTCAAAAGAAATTAAAAGAAATACTAAACTAAAAATTTTTAATTCTAATGTCAAATCAGTACTATTGTATGGGGCGGAAACATGGAGAACAACCAAGGCAATTACTAATAAATTACAGACATTCATTAACTGGTGCCTACGCAGAATAGAGGGAATAAAATGGTATGATAGAATAACTAATGTAGAACTTTGGGAGAGAACTAAACAGGCTCCAGTGGATCAGGAGGTGAGGAAAATATGCTGGCGTTGGATAGGGCACACACTGAGAAAACAGGAGAACAGCATAACTAGAATGTCTTTGCATTGGAACCCACAGGGGCATAGGAATAAAGGAAGGCCAAAAAACACATGGAGACGAGAGCTGGAGAATGAGGTTAGAAAGACTGGGAAGACATGGGGAGAGCTCCATGCAATGGCGAAGAATAGAACGACTTGGCGTGAGTTGGTTGAGGGCCTATGCTCCATTGGGGGATAGAAAGGCAGAAGAAGAAGACAATCAAAATCAGTGCATATTGGGCATTACTTAACTTATTTCTGACTTAAAGAACAGTTCCATAATCAACATTTCTGTATGACCTGTTCTCAAACGGAGGAGTTTAATGCCACTAGTTCTATGTGCACCTGCGTAATGTTTATGAGGTGCAGATGTGAATATATTCACTAAATATAGCACTTATGAAGTTAGAAAGATGGGGAGGGCATGGGGACAGCTGCATGCGATAGCAAAAGATAGAACGACTTGGCATGAGTTGGTTGAAGGCCGCTGCTCCATTGGGGGCTAGAAAAACAGAAAAAGAAGAAATATAGCACTAAGTGGGTTTCCTTGTAAATGCAAAAGCTTATTCAAAACCAAGTTGACTAACAATTGTTCCATTAGCCTCAGTGATCAAGGTCGTAGGGTACGGCATGCGTCACCTGATAAAATTAGTTTTAGGCTTCGGGGAATGGAATGCCTTACTCAGTTCTTGTTTGCTGATCACTCCCTTGATATATCTTTCTATACTTTGAAACAACAATTTAAAAACATGTGGACGAATATATTGTTAAAAGTTTTTTTCTTTTTTTTTCTTCTTTACATCCTCTTTTACCACTTTGGGTGTCGAGTGAAATATAAGGTCCTGCTTTGTGCTCTTCTGGCTTCGACCATAGACACATCGTGGTGCTGTAGTTTCTTTGATGTTATCTTTCCATCTTGTTTTTAGTCTACCTCTAGCTCTACGTCCCTCCCCTCTTTTGCTATATGCCTTATATGGTAAAGCATCAGAAGGCACTCTCTCCAAGTGGGCAAACCATTTGATTTGCTGTCTCAGTGTAGTTTAGAATAGGTTTTAGCTACCCATGTAAAATATTAGATTTTTTTAGAAGGAATTATTTCAGAAATTCCCAGTTTCTTGACCTCTTTTTTTGTTAAAACTTGTGTGGTTGAAAGGTTACAAAATTTATTCTGCTTGCCCATCCATTTCACAGATCAACTTATTTGTATGCAGACTGTTGGTTCCTCGCCTCTCAAGCAGACGTGCTCCGACTTTGGAGGAGAAATCCCTAACTAGTCGCCTTTAACGATATGCTTGCTAAGGGGCAGGGTTCGATTCTTTTGTCCCACAGAATGGGGCCCTAGAACCCACACAGGGGATTTCTTCCTGTTGACAATCACAAGCCATTTGCTGAAAAAGCCGCACATTATTTGGTCATGTCATGAAAAGGAAAAAACTGGAGTACATCATGATGGTTTGAAAGTTGGAGGGGAGGAGAGGCAGAGGGAGACCAAGAGAGAAGATGATGGACAATATGACATCATGGCAAGGAAGATCATCTGTGTCAGAATTTACTTAAAGAACACGTGTCAACAAAAGGTTGTGGATTGTCATGACTACCAACGCCACAAGATGTAGAAGCTTATCTGTGTCAGAACTGACTGAAAGAACGTGAAACACAAAGTAGCAGATAGATATGACTACCAATGCCACATGGTATGAAAGACCATCTGTGTCAGAGCTGACTAAAAGTACATGATACACAAGGCTGCAGACAGAACTGACTACCAACGCCACAAGGTATGGAAGCTCATCTGTGTCAGAGCTGACTGAAAGTACATGATACACAAGGCTGCGGAGAGACGTGACTACCAACGCCACATGGTATGGAAGACCATCTGTGTCAGAGCTGACTGAAAGTACAGGATACACAAGGCTGCGGACAGACGTGACTACCAATGCCACATGGTATGGAAGACCATCTGTGTCAGAGCTGACTGATGTCCATGATACATAAGTCTGCGGACAAACGTGACTACCAACGCCACATGGTATGGAAGACCATCTGTGTCAGAGCTGACTGAAAGTACATGATACACAAGGCTGTGAACAGACATACTACCAATGTCACGTGGTATGGAAGCTCAAATGTGTCAGATCTGACTGAAAGTACATGATACACAAGGCTGCGGACAGACATACTACCAAAGCCACATGGTATGGAAGACCATCTGTGTCAGAGCTAACTGAAAAAACACGAGCCAAAAGGTTGTTGACTATCAACACCCCAAAACAAAAAGTATTTTTTAAAAAGTAGCCATAATAAAGCAACAATATGTCACTTTCTGTAGTATGAGACCAGTAGGAATAATCAAAGTTGAACTTACTGTAGTATGAGACCAGTAGGAATAATCAAAGTTGAACTTACTGTAGTATGAGACCAGTAGGAATAATCAAAGTTGAACTTACTGTTGTATGAGACCAGTAGGAATAATCAAAGTTGAACTTACTGTAGTATGAGACCAGTAGGAATAATCAAAGTTGAACTGTACTGTAGCAAAAACCTATGAAGACCAGTAGGAATAATCAAAGTTGAACTTACTGTTGTATGAGACCAGTAGGAATAATCAAAGTTGAACTTACTGTAGTATGAGACCAGTAGGAATAATCAAAGTTGAACTTACTGTAGTATGAGACCAGTAGGAATAATCAAAGTTGAACTTACTGTAGTATGAGACCAGTAGGAATAATCAAAGTTGAACTTACTGTTGTATGAGACCAGTAGGAATAATCAAAGTTGAAGCTTTTGACTTGAGAATCCTTGGGGCCAGCCTTGGGATTTGTGATGGCTGAAATATGAAATAGTCAGTGTTTAGAATGCTCGGATGTAAATATTCTAACGAAATATAGCTTTTACAGCAACCTTATACGTAATACTAGGCCCCGGAGAATGTATTACGTTTAACACTTTACTCTGCTCCTGTATTTCAAAACAAAAGTATTTTTTAAACATAATGAATAAATTTTTAATAACTTATTAGTCAACTGTGTGTAAGTCTGAGTCTATGCCATAGGCGTTGCGAATGTGCTTCATTATGCTGGGGTGCCAGGTTCGATCCCAGCTGCGGATGGTTTGTCTTGCGTTGGTTTTGACAGTGGCACTGAGATCTCACTGTTCAGAAAGCAATGGCAAACTACTTAACGTAAAATTTGCCTAGACAAACTACAACAGCCAAAAAAAGCTAAAGTTTGTTCTGCAACGTCCTGTAAAGGTTTCGCAACCGTGTAAAACGGTTCTTATGTAAAGGAGTTTTTTTTCTCCAAATTTCCATGGGTTCGTGGCGTCTGTCGAATGTTGTGCTGCGAACGCGCTTCGTAATGCCAGGTCCTATCCCTGCTGCTGGCCTTGCGCCTTGTGTTGGTTTCGACAGTGGTATAAAAAAGCCGACTGTCCAGAAAGCAATGGCAAACTTCTGGACGTAAATTAGCCTAGAAAAATCACAACTGCCAAAAAATGCTGGGGTTGGTTCTGCAACGCCCTGTGAATGATACGGTACTAACTAACATGGGTTCGTGACCCATTTAATTAGCAATCTGTGAAAGGATCAACGTATCCAAAATAGGAGTGACCATCTGGGTGACCAACTGCATCTGCCTGACAGGCAAGTAACCAACATACAAAAAAATCACATCCGTAAAACTGACATGCATGCAAAACTCAAGTTTTAGATCACAACCAAAGTCCAGGAAAGGACAAACAACCAGAACTTTCTGCCGAGGTTTACAGCCCGTGAACATTAAAGACCAAAAAAAAAACTTTTTTAACACTTCCAAATTTATTGCATTTCCCAAGAACCACATGTTCACCGCCAACAGAAAGCTTTCAGTCTATGTAAAACTGAGGCATGAATGTACATCCAAGTGAAAAAAGAATATACAGGTTTTCATTTAAAGGAGTTACAAAAAGTGTACATAAAACATAAAGATGCCATCTCTGTTAGTATAATTTTTGAAAAGTACTTAATATGTCCTGTACGGCCTCAGCGCTGGAAATTTGTGTCTTTATTTACTGTTTGCAAATGGACGGCTAGAGTAAGTAACAACGATTGCTTGAAAGAACCTAATGAAAGTAGATCTCTATATTCCCCTGCGTGGGTTCCAGGGCCTTATTAATAGGGAAAACAAGAATAGACCCACTGCCTTCCCAAACGCCTGTCGTAAGAGTCGACTAATTAGGAGCTTTCTTCGAAGTCATAGTGTGTCTGCCTGAGAGGCAAGAAACCAGCAGTCTGCACACAAACAAGTCAGATCTGTAAAACGGATACGGGTTCTGGAACAGGACTGCAGTCCAGAAGTGGATGAACAACCAGATCTTTCCGCCAGGATTTACAGCTGGTGAACGTGAAGAAGAAGAAGAAGAAGAAGAAGAAGAAGATATGTATATACAACAATAAGAAAGAGACAAACACTGTTCTTTGGCCACATAATGAGGAGAGAGACATTTGAGAACATCGTGACAACTGGAAAAATTGGTGGAAAAAAGGGGTAGAGGCAGACCAAGAGGGATGATGCTTGATGGGCTGAAACGATGGCATGAAGGGATATCATCAAGAGAGCTGTTCCAGGCAAGAAGGGATCATGATCTGTGGAGACGTATTAGCACCTACGCCAGTTGGCAGACCACATGATGAAGATTTACAATTTTTATCAGTTTACAATTTTTATCAGTTTACATGTTTGTGGTTCCAAGTGTAGGCAGTTGTAAAGTCGAGGAGAAGGTGTGTAACACAAGCGAAGACGAAGGGAACTAATATACTTACTGGTCGTCTTGCCAGTCATTTCAATGATACACTCGGCATCCCTGGATATCTCTCGGTTGTTAAAGGGTCGAACCCTCACAGCCACTTTGACAGACGACATTTTATCTGTTTGTGGATAAAAGTTTGGGGATAAAACTACAAACTGCCAAACAAAATCATCGTTTTCTGTTTATATTTTCTGCAAATAATAGAGAACTAGCTAGGGCATCATTGTGAACCGCCTTCTTTCTCTACTTCTTTTCCTTATCGTTTTCTTTCCCTCCTCCTCATCCTACTTCTTCTTCATGATTATTAAGAAGAAGATGATGATGATAGAGAAGACGATCATAATGATAAAAAAGAAGATGACAACCATAAACAAGAAGAAATAGATGATAAAGAAGAAACGATGATAATAGAAGATTATGATCATAAAGAACTCGATGATAAATAAGATGATGATAAAGAAAAAGAGATAAATAAGGTGATGACGATAAGGAAGATGATAACAATAATGAAAAAATGATGATGATAAAGAAGAAGATGATGATGATAAAGAAAAAGATGATGATGATAAAGAAGAAGATGATGATGATCAAGAAGAAGATGACAATAATAAAAATGATGATAAAGAATAAGATTATAGGAGTCGCCATGGCGGATCGGCTAGACACTCGCCACGGATCAGAAGGTTGTGGGTTTGCTTCCTGGCGAAGCCTGACTTTTTTTTTTAAATGACCTTGGCTCCCAGGTCGACCCAGCCTTGTGTGGGTACCGGGTCAGTCCCGGGAGGTAAAGGCGGCCGGCGTGATGCTGACCCCATCACCCACTGTGCAGATTGGTCTATAAAATATAGACCCTACATGCCCTATACGCCCAAAGGTGTGGAAAAGGGTCTTTTACTGCTTTTTTTCTTTTATCGATGACAATAAGAAAGATGATGACGGTGATGACGACAAAGATGAAGAAAAAGATGATAATAAAGAAAATGTAAACTCCATCAAACAGGTCACATGGGGAACCAAACAGCCCTCACCTGTGTGTAGCGGTCGCTGACAGCAAATACAAGTGAATGAAAGAGAGTTGACTACACTAAATATGGGTCCTAGACCGGATCACAAGTGTTGATGGAAATCCATGACCAAACCACTCACAGATGAAGTCTTTTCATGTCTTGATACTTGAAGATTCTCTGAAACACAATTTATAAAATTATCGTTGGGGTCTATGGCTCTTTTCTTCTTCTTCTCCCCACCCCCCTCCACCATCACCCCCAAAAGAGCGTAATAGTAATAATGAAGATCACAATAACAGTGATGGTAATGATGATGATAATGCTATGATGATGATGTATGCAATGCTTGCAATGAGGATACTGGTTGCAATGATGAGGATGATGGTTGCGATGATGATCATGATGATGCTGGTTGTGATGATGATGGTTGTGATAACTGTGATGATGATGATTGTGATGATGATTGTTGTGATGATGATGGTTGTGATGATGATGGTTGTGATGATGATGGTTGTGATGATGATGATGGTTGTGATGATGATGATGATTGTGATGATGATGATGATTGTGTTGATGATGGTTGTGATAACTGTGATGATGATGGTTGTGATGATGATGGTTGTGATGATGATGGTTGTGATGATGATGATGATGATGATGATGATGATGATGATTGTGATGATGATGGTTGTGATGATGATGGTTGTGATGATGATGAGTGTGATGATGATGACTGTAATGATGATTACTGTGATGATGATGATTGTGATGATGATGACTGTAATGATGATTACTGTGATGATGAGTGTGATGATGATGACTGTGATGATGATGATTGTGATGATGAATGTGATGATGATGACTGTGATGATGATTGTGATGATGATGAGTGTGATGATGATGGTTGTAATGATGATTACTGTGATGATGATGACTGTGATGATGATGAGTGTGATGACGGTGATGAATGATGACAATGATTATTGTCGTGATGATGATGATTTGATGTTGGTGATCATGATTATGGTTGTGATCATCAAAATAATAATGATGACGACGATGATGACGATAATGGTAGTGAGTGGCAAACTACCTCAGAAGCACACTAATGAGCAGAAAATTGTCTCCCAGAACCACGACAGCCAAGCGACTATTGCATAACATCAAAAAACTTGAGGAGAAAATCCTGACAACATGCATCTTTCCCGAGGCAAAATATCGGATCAGAATCGTGGGACTATTTCACAATCGCCAAAGCAGGAAATTGGGGTTTGGGGTTTAACTGTTCCAGGAAGACCTTACAGTATTATGGGTCCAGATGTAACAAAATACTGACATCCTTCTTCTTCTTCTTCTTCTCTTCCACCTTTTACCTCATCGAAATGTCCGGGGGGGGGGGGGGGGGGGGATGTAATGTTCGTTTTACCTATTAAGACTGATGTTCATCGAAAATGTCACGTTGTAATACCCGTGTTTCAGTGTGGCTCGCTGTGGCAGATAGTACCAGGGCATTCTTGTTAGGTGTCCAACCCACTTCATTTGTTGTCTTTGATGACCTGTAAGACTGGCTTTTTTCCTAGCATTCGTCTGATTTCATGATTTCGTATTCTGTCTTTCCTTAAAACTCCTGCAGCTCTTCTAAGACGCATCCTTAACGATCTTAAATATCAGGGATGAATGAATGGATGAATGAATAACACTGCACTTGTGACACTTCCATTGGTGCTCCGTCTCCTTCTTCAGTAGCCATCAAAGAGTTGATATACTAACAGTACCGGCTGCATACCTGATTAAAAGTCCGCCTATATTTCCCCGTCAGTGTTGAATATCTTCATTACAACCTCTGCTCACCCCCTTCCCTTGAATTAGTATTTGAGTGTGTGGATTATATGTCTGTTCTACTGCACATGATTCTAGAGAGTTTTCACCACGTCTGCTTTATCATTAAGTAGCTCACCACCCAGAGGAGAAGTAGAAGAGGGAGGATTATGAGGAGGAGAAGAAGAAGAAGAAGAAGAAGAAGAAGAAGAAGAAGAAGAAGAAGAAGAAGAAGAAGAAGAAGAAGAAGAAGAAGAAGAAGAAGAAGAATACACACCAAAAACAATCACAAGAATCTTCGCTGAGCCATCCTAATACTGCCATAGACCAGTGATTCCCAAACTGTGCTCCCCGGCGCCCCGGGAAGGCGCGACCTCCTCACAGGGGCACCGAAGAAATATTCGAAGATACTCGAGTTTAATTTTTTTTTCTCTTACACATGAATAGTCATACTTTTACTCTACTAAAAAGGCGCCGCGACTAAGTAAAGTATGGGAAACAATGCCACAGACTATGTCAGTGTCTGACCACAGACAGAAAGCTAGACTAACTAGGGGTAACCGCTCTGCAGGGACACCGTTGACCGCTAGTAAATGCTCCCACAGACGGTGTCTGTACACGGCGATAGTGAGAGTAAATGCAGGATATACGGGAGTTAAGCGGTGTTTTCTTTTTCTCTTCTTTTTCAGCTCCAACGTCGAGGTCGTTCTGTGGTTGTTCTTCGTTGTCTTCATTATTTCATCTCCTCCTCTCTTCCTACTTCTGCTACTGGTGGTGGTGGTGGTGCTGCTGCTGCTACTACTACTACTGCTACTACTACTACTACTACTACTACCACCAATATCACTACAACTATTACTGCCGCTTCTCCTACTAAAGCTAATACTACTTAATACTACCACCACCACCACTGCTGCTGATGATACTACTACTACTTTTACTAATACTACTGATACTACTAGTTATACTACTACTATTAAAAACTATTACTACTGCCACTGCTGCTACCGCTACCACTGTTGCTGCTGCTGCTACAACTACTACTGCAACTACTAATACTGCTACTACTACCACTACTGCCACTAATACTACCGCTACTACTACTACCACTAAAACTAATACTACTGCCGTTACTGCTACGCTTGCTACCTCTACCAGTATTACCACCACCACCACCACTACTACTACTACTACTGCTGCTGCTATTTCTTTTTCTTCCCTTACTTCTTCTCCCTCTTATTATTCTTCTTCAAGGATATGACATCCGATTAGAGTTAGTTGGTGTCAAACCCTCCTGGGTGTTAGCCCCCTACGGAAGCGCGAGGAAGTTTCGGGGGGGGGGGGGGGAAGGGGAATGTTAGACCTGTATTAATTATGATTTTCCGCTTTTTCAAACATGGAAACAAAACAAACAGCTTTTGGAGAGTGATCTCCGTTGTCTTGTCCAGAATTACACCAAAAATAATGCTTGGGATTTTTGCCGCCAATTTTTGTTAGTTACACGCGGGGAGGGGGGTAGATGTTTTTTTTAAAGTGGGGGGGGGGGGGGGAGGGGGGTACAACTAATTTTTTTTTAAAATTGGAGGCGACCGCTTTGGGAATGCCGGTGGGATGGGAAATGAACAGGCAGAGAGACTGGCGGGTTCTGCCCCATTTGGTGGTAAACTGTCGCACAAACAGATGATCCTGGTGTGAAGAGAATGTTGTAGCCAGCAGTGACAAGGGGATCTGTTCAAATCTCAAAACTCAATGGAAAGACGCACATACAATCAGACAGTTACAGGTGCCATCCGTACTGGAACTCTGCACTGGCTGCTGACGTTGGGGACGCACGCTTATGGGAATGTCCTGAGTGATGTGATGTCGATTCTTAATTCAACATTTAACATTCCTTTTCATGAGTGGCCCAGGGAATGTAAACTGTATCCTGATGTGTGCAGTCAGTTCTCTTTGTAAGTCAGTTGTTGTTTTTTATAGTTTTTTTTTTTTTTTAAATACACATGTGTTACGGTTTGTTTTTTTTAAAACCTGTCTAGGGTGTTCTCATCCTTATCTATAAAACCATATCTTCGCCACACCCACTGTAGTCGTTAGTCGCCCCTATGTGGGATGCAATTGTTCTTTATCTGAAGCCCCATCCTGGCTTTTGCCGGGGACCCTAAATATGGCCTAACGGTTGAACGGGGTTTCTGGGACCTCTCCACGGGTGATCCTCATCCGCTTGGTGGCACTTTGTGTCATGTCTTCGCTTTGTGTGATGTCCTGGTGGGGTACAACTTACATACATA